ACTTCCTTCAACCAGGGTAGAGGACAATTAATGATGAAAATACTGAATAAGCCAAGTACCTTGTGGGCACTGACGTAGAAAGATGAACGATGTGCAACTCCTAGTCAAAGGGAAAGTTTCTCAATGGGTCAATTGTTGACACTGTCCTTATCATTCAGAATAGTAACGAAGATCATTCAGCATTTACCCTGTCCAAAGATTTGACCAGACAGTAAATGACTCCTTCATGACAGGGCTAAAATGACTGACTTAAAGGAATAAGCTGGCTATTTCAATGGTGTACAACACTGGGTGAATAGCTGACAAGAACTAAACACGAATCTGGAAGGAGAGGTGATGGAGCGATGAGGAGGGACACCTCCCCATCCCGAGACCCTGAGAGCCAGAAGTCAATGTCAGATGAAGTCAGTAGTATAGAACCTATAACATGGTTCTTTGTCAGGATGTGAACACAATGGGGAGAATGGCAAAGAGTGAAACACCAGAGAAAGAGATTTCAAGGAGCCCAGTCTAAAGCCTCCTGCAGAGAAGGCCAAGTAACTAGAAAGTTCTTAAGAAGGGAAGACCTCCATGAAGCTGACATGGGTCTGAACTCCTCTCAGAAGTAAGGCCAGCACACCTGGCATGGGCAGCAGCACTCACCTTGGTTAGAGCTTATGTGTGATGGGTAAGGAGGGGAGGAGCGAGGAGAAGCAGTTGGAGATGTGACCCTGTATTTGATAAGGCAGCTACAGAAGCTGTTAGAAAAAGTTACACATGGGAAAGGTGAAGAGTGTTTCTCAGAGTGCACAGGCTCAAAGACAGAGCTGGCGTGTGTGTGTGTTGGGGGGAGCACGTGGCATGGACAAAAGAACAAACAGGAACCGCAGAGGTTTGAAAGGGACAGTCTAACAGTCTGAAAGGAGACAGGAAAAGGAAATTAAGGGAGGAAGAACGCAAACCCCCAGAACCTGCAGTGCTGCCTTCATCCCATCTGTGACAGGGAGGGGACATTTTAAAGCCCGGACCTTCCAGGAAACCTGATGCATTCATTAACGTGCTTGGCTACAGAGCTGTCCCAACCGCGGCTAGAAGGATGGCAACGGAGGTCATTTGACAAGCCGGGCGCTTTTTCAGGCAGCGCAAATTAGCCTGCTGGAATCCAGCGGGCACAGATGGAAGCCAAACACAATCAGAAATGCTTTGATTGCTTTGCAAATAATGGAGCGGGACTCACATTACAAGGACTGGGCTTCGGGATGGGAAAGCAAGGTGGTGATAAAGATGTTTTATCAATGTTCTGGTATCAAATATAATTATTTCTTGTAGGTGTTTGAAATATTTACACTTTCAATATGAGAGGCTTGCATTTTTTTCCACTGTCACATCCATTAAGCAGCACTGCGACCGTCACAGTTCTGGAAGGGCTTCATCCTGCTCGTTTTAGGAAAGATCTCAAAAATGAGGCTGATTATTTTTCACACCTACAGTCCCTAGAAAGTCGGCAGATGCAAGAACAGCCACAGAGCCTTTTCGAGGGAGTTGAGGGTCAGTCTCCAGAGCTCTGGTGCCACATTAGGACGGTGCTGCAGAGTGCAGCCTGCTAGCAGTTTTCATTTTTGTAAGAAGATGTGCCGGACGCTTAGTAACTTTTGCTTGGCTGGAATGATGAGGCACCTGAATTCTATTAAAGCAAAACATCTGACCACATCCAACTGTGTCCATGTGTGGGCCCATTCAGAGGCTGAGTGAGAGGGTGGGAAATCTGTCATTCCTGTACTATGCGTGTGTTAAGAAGGGCCAGAGGTGGGCAGCGGGCCTGGCTGCAGGGCGCCTCGACTCTGAAGCTCTGCCACTGAGAGGAGGCTGGCTTCTCTGTTTCCGTGAAGAAAGTCAGTCAGGTCCACTAATATACTGTGGAACTTGGATGACACCCAAACCCCACTTGCCAAAACAACATTCAGAATGTCAGCTTTCCACTTGAGAAAGCTGAACCACATCTTGCGGGAGCATAGGATGATTGGCGAAAGTAGCGGCCTCAGATTCAGGATGAGGGCGCCCAGGAGGTCACCGCATGGCTGCTGAAGGAGGTTTTTTGTTGTAACTAAATCCAGTGAGCAGAAGGCTCTTGACACAGCCCAGGAACTGCACATTCTGTCCACCAAAGCCAATTTGAATCTCCTGGAATTCAGAGAGAGGCAAAGCATGAAAATTGCCCCTAGTGCTGGGCGGGCTTTCCAAGAGGACCAATGCATATAAAGCTGAAGGCAGTAGGAGCAAACATGCTGGCCACATGTCAGGTTCTTTGCAGTTAGCAAAAGCAAGCCAGTAAGGCCTCTGAACAGGTTAGCTGAAGTTCTGGAAGAGAATAAGCCATCTGCTCAAGAAGGTCTTTTACAGGGCACTCCTGAAGTCTTCTGCACCAGCTCTGAGAATTGCGTGCAAGTCTGGGTAAATACAGAGCTAGTTCTAGTCTCTCCGTGTTCCAGGGGGAAAACCTGGACGAGGGGAGGAACCTTTGCAGTGGCTGAGCTGGGAATAAGGTCAAGAGTCCTGGGAGGCAGGTGTGCTCCCCTGGGCTGCAGTCCCCATCCCGCTGCTGATGTGACTGCTATCTGAGCCACAGGGGAAGATGGAGACTCTAATGATGCCCAGTGTGACTTCAAGGGCAAGTCCTGGGCTCGGCATTTCAGAAACAGGAGTCAGCTGATGATGAACATTATGACGTGCGGGGTGAGCTAATGATGTCACACAGGGTATCAGATGATTGACCTAGCTGATTCCTCCCCTGCCAGTCTCTAGCAGGGGACTTCTGGTATCTGTATGAAGGGCTCATATCCCAACCCAACCTAGGGCTTCTTCTGTCCTGACAATGACCAGGGACTCCAGACAGCTGATTTCTCTGGGGCCTAGTGTGTCCTTCACTTGCTGCTCACTACAGAGCAATGCGGTGGGTTAATGCCAAGGAACACTGCTGGTGCATGCTTGTTGCCGTCTACACTTGCTGTAGGCCAGAGCTGGAGGTGCTGGCTCTGCCTGAGCTGAATGCTCCCACGATTCATAGACACTTCCTGAGATGTCTGTGCAGCCAATCTGGATGGACTGGATGGACTCCATGCCGAAGCAGTGTTCATCTTTCTGAGTCATGAGCTCACTGACACTTTTCGACTTATCTTGAAAATATTCTTTACGGCTAGCATTGTTTTCATTAAGGGGAGAGATACTAGGTAGATTAAAATATTTTGGTTGACAGTCACCCATGCATTAGGATGGCTAGAGTTCCACTTAGGATGCGACAATCCTTGGAGTACGATGGGCTGCTGGGTTCTCTCCTGTGGTTCTGACAGGGATTTGCAGGCCTTGAAAGGCGTTGATTTATGATGCTGGTGGTTGTTCTGATCTACCTTCATCCCACTTCTCCAACAAGGCCAGAGATAGCAGTAATATCTTTGGGCAGAACTGGGAAAAGACAGTTTCTGTTCAAGATGTCAAAAATGCTGAAAAAGAAATATAGTAGCACTTTCTGTAGTTCCATGCACATAAAGATTCCTGAGGTCATTGGTTTCACTGTGTAGAGTAAAACAGGACAAGTAAAAAGCCCAAGCCATCTGGATTGACTGATGGATGAATTCAGATAGAGAGACCGATTCGCACATAGAAGACTGAGTTCCATGATGTATCTTTTAAACTGAGGAGTGTTTTGATAGAATTATATTGGATGGGATTGATCCCACAATATCCATTTCTTGGTCTAATAGTTCATTTACTCTAAAATAATGTAAGACCTTAGGATTGGTTTCCAAAAGTTCAAATGGAGCTGTGAAAATAGTTCATAATCATACCTCCAAATTGTAAGAGAAATCTGGGCCGTACTCACTGAGAACGCCAGGACTAGTCAAAAGAAACTGACAAGTATTTCCACCTGAATCATGGTTCTCTTTTCTCATTTCACAGGAATTCTTAATTCTATTTCCCCTGGTTAGACTGATATTACTGTATCTACAAATTAGCATTATCAACGGCAATGTCGTGCACTTCACAAAATTTCCTACTAAAGAGGTGCATGTCTACACAACACCCAAAAGGAGAGAGAGAACACAGGGGATTGCCCTGCCACAGAGACAGGGGGGATGGGGGGATGGGGGTGGGAGGGATATTATCCATGGTGGTAGAAAATGGGCACTGGTGGAGGGATGGGTATCTGATCATTGTATAACTGAAACCAAAGCACAAAAAATTGTAAATCTACAACTTAAAAAAAAAAAAATAAAATAAAGGGGAAAAAAAAAGAAAAAAAAAGTTAAAAAAAAAAAGAGGTGCATGTCTAAACGAAAATAATGGTATAAATGGATGACTGGAACAGAGGGTATGGAGAGGCTCAAACTCAATAACCCTACTCTGAAACATCGCCCTTCACTTCCCAGTTTCTTTTTGAAAATGAGTAGATACCATCTTAAGATTTATACTAGCTTGCAGTTTTGTTTATTAGTTTTTTAGCCTAGACATATATGGGAAGGTAAAGGACCTTAGTGGATGAAAACAAAGAAAAAATATTACAAATTGCACACCCAAACAACGCTGGGTTTGATAATCCACTACAGAAGTAAGATCATCAACTAAGAGCATTTTCTTTGTATCACTGCCAACTCATAGTCTATAAAAAGAGCAAGGTTTCTATAACATAGAACAAGACTCAATTCCTTTCCAAGTCTTATTGCTGACTCTGATTATATAATTCTGCCTTTTAAATGCAGGCTAAGGGAAAATATATGGTTACAAATGAGAAACTGGGCAAAGGCCACCACCATCGCTCCATGCCATTCAAATAAAGTCAAAGCAGTTTTCAACCTGCAGGATTTCATTTACTTTTAAGTCCATAGAATACTTTGTCATCTCTATTAGCCATTAATCTCACTGGGACTTCAAAATTCTAATTATGCAACTAAACATTAAGAAAATTTAATCACACAAGCATGCCATAATTTTAGGCGACCTTATCAATCTGGAAAATCATTACCTACCTCATATTTTAGCTTTCGTTGAATGGTGCCATTGTGAAGCTTCTCGTTATTCTGAAAAGAAAATAAAAACCCTTCTATATTAAATTATAACATGTTCATACATGAGAGAAATCCCCTAATTTGATTAGAAATATTTATAGGAAAAAAGTCTATAGAAACACAGTTGTCATTCAACAATGACAGCCTTTCTGTCCCCAAGGTAAACAGGACTACCGAGCCATCTGCCTACAAGCAAAATGAATAATTTACTTACAATCTTAACTTTCTAAGAATAACATTAAAAGTAAGATTTCCTTGGGACATATCTTAATTTGTAAGACAGACAGGAAATACCTTTATTTTGATAAAAATCAATTTGTCACCAGCATGTATCATGTCAAAAGCAAAATTGAGTACCTACTTGGGATAATTTACCAAGCAAATTAAATGTCTAGGGTTGGTTTCTAGAGAAAACAGAAGATACCACACATAGAATTTTTATAAGTCAAGATAAAAATAAAGCATTTTCTGCTTTTCTCTTTTTGGGGGGAGGGGTTGTGGGGTATACCTGGTGTTCTGTGCTCATGGAGCACTTCTGGTGTGCTCAGAGGACCATATATGGTGTCAGTGATCGAACCAGGGTTGTTCAAAGATACTACAGGCACCTGAAACCCTGTCGTATCTCTCTGGCCAAAATAAAGCATTGAGGAGGCTCTTTAATTGACTTAAGAATTTCTCTCAGTGGCTTGAGAACATGCTTTGCATGTAGGAGCCTGGTTTTAAACCCTGTCACTATCTGATGTTAAGCAAAACAAAACACAATCTTCCATCAGGACTTAAAATCATTGTTTTGCTTTGGTCTGGGGGCACACCCAGTGGGGTTCATGGCTTCCTTAGTCTGCTCAAGGGGACCTCGTGCAATGCTGTGATCAAACTGGGGTCAACTACATGCAAGGCAAGCACCTTAACTCCTGTCCTCTCTAGGTAGCTCCTAGAGGTTCAAATATGCTTTTTAATATTGTGACCTCTATAAATAGAATTTATAAACTGTTAAAAATCCAACCAAAAATTAATGTTTCTAGAATATTTTGCATTTCAATTTTCTGACTGAGATAAGAGAGCAACAGAGGACTCCTCTCCCTGAAAACTTACTGAAAGCACCTCTCAAAATAGAATGAGTGATTACTTAGGGTTTCTTCTCACCTTCATCATATCTGTGGAGTTATCACTATAGTCACCAAGCACACGATGCAAATCCTGAAGACGTCTTTGGACTTCTTCTTCAATATAAGCATTAATCCTGGAAACAACAGAAATGAAGGTAATTTAGAATTTCTAGCCAGAAGGGGCATTTCTGATTATCTTTACCCTCAACACAGGGAAATGGCTAAATTGTTTTTTAGCATCGTTTTGTTTGGGGGCCATACCTGGCTGTGTTCAGGCCTACTCCCAGCAGGGTTTTGGGGCCCATATGGGGGTAACCAGAAACAGAACCCAGTTCGGCCATGTGCAAGGCAAGCAACAACCCACTGTACTACCCCTGTGGCCTGGAAGTTTCTAAATTAAGAATTTAGCAATTATTAATGCCAAAAAATGAAACTTTTTTTTACTTTTTAAGAAATTTAGTGCTGCATATTTATTAAATCCATCACCACCACCACTGCCCCCAACCCCCACCTCAACACACACACACACACACATGCACTAGAACTGGATGGATAACAGGATGTTTGAAAAACATGGGAGACTCGGTGATTCTGTCCCAGTTTGCCTCAATTTCCACAGTGGGAAGCTCTGGTGCAGAGGATCAGAGAATCAGGCTTTAGGAGGCCCAGCATTCCAGGCCTCACTCTGTGGCTCACCATTTTACTCACTAAGCCTCTTTTCAGTCAGAGGGAAGAAAATGACAACAGTTACTTCATACATGATAAAATCACTAAGAGGAAGAGTGAAAAAACAAAAATCTTCCTGATTCTACTGGAACAGTGTCTGGCCTTGTTCTGTTCTGTCTTGTCACTCCACCTGGGTTATCTGCTCCTGTTTGGGAGAGACTGTAGTTTAAGTCTCTACTTTCCCAAAGGCTGGGCACAGGACAAATGCAGTGCAGTCAGAAACAGCTCACTTTTGAGGCAATTGTTAACTGAGTGTCTGGCATCCCATACACTATCAGTGACCCTGTATAAAGTTCTTCCTTTCATCCAGAAGAAACACAGAGACATTAGTGCCATCAAAAATCTTCTGTGTCCATGGGGCCAGAGAAATAGTACAATGGGTTGGGAGTTTGCCTTGTACTTGGCTGGCCCGAGTTCCATCCTTGACGTCCCATCTGGTCTCTGGAGCCCACCAAGAGTGATTCCTCACATCGAAGGATGTGCCTCTGCCCCTATCCTCCCAAAAGAAAATCCTCTGTGCCCAAACCGATGGTTTACTGAGTTCTACTTTCCCTCATCCGATGTACAGCTGCTGATTAGATGGATTATATTAATGATATGTTTACATTTTAACCCACTTTTAAAAAGGTTTTATTTCACCTTTCTAATTATATGGAAAATCCTGTAATTATTTCTGTCCTATTGTCTGTGGCAAAATGATATTCTGAAATGCAAGGTAAATAAATTAATATTTTAAATAAAACAAATGAGACTGCAAGAATGGAATTACAATAATAATAAAGTACAGTAGTTACAAAAAATCATATGCAATTAAATGTATACAAATAAACTGCCTCTGGAGGCCTTTATTTAAGTTTTAAATTATTCTGTAGAAGGTAGAGACACAGAGGCTTGTGCCTTTCAGAATACATTTTGATATCCAAATATATATTTCTGAATAGCCAGGCCTTAGAACTCTCAAATTTGAAAGATCCTATGCCACTGGTGGGTTGAGGAAAATAATCCCTATTCTTAAAGATAAAGGACTATCTCACTATATCTCACTGTCAAGCCACAGAGAAATTTATAATGCCATCTGGGCTGAGAATAATTTTCTTTTGATAACATCAAGTATATTAAGATATTCAAAATCATTCTGAATATACTGGTATGGTTTTTGTAATAGACTCCATGTACGTGCAACGGATGCTTTCTATAAATTAACTGTCAGCATCAGATCCTTCCCTTATTAGTACAGTTCAATGAACTCTGCTTTATTCTTCATTTCAACCTAGTCTTGTATTACTTCTTTTGTTACAATCTGATTTCCCTGCAGATTCTATTCCTACCGTCTCACACAAACTACTTGTACCACCATTCCTTATATGTGGCTGGCTAGCTCTTAGGTCTTTGGTTCCCTTCAGATAATCCCTCATTGTATCACTTGTCAGAGAATAGTAGAAAAGGACAAAGCATTTCTCAGGACATGCAAAATTTGCCCCTTTGACTGATCCCTCCATCATCAAACCGATCAGTCTGTGGAATCGTGGTCATTAATCATACCAGAAATGCAGACTCGATATCAATGTGATGCTCAGTACCTGTCATCCATGAGAGAACCCAGATGAGATTTTTCAGCACTGGATGACAAACTGGAAGCAGCGCTCTTCCCCTCTAAGGCTCCGCAATGCTCTTTCTGAACAACATCGACCTCACTGATCCTCTGCTTCAGCTGCTGTATTTCATGTTCTAACCTGTGAGAGGAGTGAATTGTGGTCCATTTGGGAATACTGTTCCCCGAGCAATTTCAATGGATGGTACACTGTTCTAGAAACCATGTGGAATTCATACACACACTCTTCATGCAAAGACCTTTACCTTCTAGTAAAGTGCCATATGCTCAGAAGGCATGTAACATAATAATCGGCCAGAAGAAAGAGTCCAGAACAAGTATTATGGATGTTTAAAAGTGGGAGAGAATTTAACCATCAAAGGTGCTCTCAGTATGCTCTGAGAAAATCCCCAAAGGTACATGAGCGGGATTCTGAGTCCTCCTACCTCTGCTTTAAAAAAAAAATGGTTATTGACTCTATGTGGCAGGAATTCACTAAGTATTTCTACCAGACAACACAAATGCATGCTTTAGAGAGATTTTTAAGTCCACCCATCTCTGACATCATTCGTGGTCAAGGCAGTTCTAAGTTGTATCTCATAGGCCATTGGGAATTTGAGTATTTGGAGAGGCTGCTGGAAGGTTCTCCAAGTCAGAAAGTAAAAGCAACACAGGGACTGAGCTATGAACCAGGAATGCCCCGTGGCTAAGGAAGAGGGTATGGAATTGGGAAAGAGGTGGGAGACCTAACACTCATGCTGAGTAGCTTGAGAAATTCAACCATCAGTAGTGGAACAGAACAACAGTCTCCATCAACAGATGGTATAAAAAAAATAGTATGTGATACCTAACCTGAGATTGGGAAGGTGAGACTCTTCTCACCCAGTGTAAGCAAACTGGAATCCAGCAGCACCTGGCTCAACTTGACAGTAAATTTGGTGCAGGGAACATAAGACCTAATTGGGAGCTATAGCTGCATTGTGTAAAGCATGGCAAGTTAGTGAATCCTGGCTCTCAATATCTTTATTCAACAAATGAATCAACTATTCTCTAAATTCCCCCAACCACCGCCAACTGACAGATTCTGGCTTCTGCTGCTGATGATATGACATCACCAGCTCGAGGTGTCAGGAGTAGCAACCGACTGCTCTGTCCTTAACAAGTTTACAATGCTCACGAGGGTGATGACAGGGTCACCCAGGGTAAGTACTCAGGTGTTCCAGAGCAGGCAATGCCTGATGTAACTTAGCACTTCACTGTCTACTGATTAGCATCAATTCACGGGGCATTCATCATTTTCAAAGATCACCTAAAAGTGGGATACCTGGAGTCAGGTGGCAGCCAAAGAACAAAGAAACAGTATTACACTGAGTCTCAGAGAAGGACAACAAGTAAGATGGAACCAGTTCAAGTTTTAAAGTCTATAATTATGGTGATGCCCACTGGTATTATTCAAAGACAGTCTTTAGGGCTCTGCAAGCAGAAAAAAGCAAAAGGGGTTCAATTGGGGCCCATAGGGCTTGATGAGACTTCTGGGAGGCAAGGCACAAGCAGGACATTCTCTATGTTTTGTTTTGGGGGTCACACCCAGCAGTCCCCAGATTTACTCTTGGTGGGCTCCATATGTGGTGTCAGGGATCAAACCTAGGTCAGCTGCCTGCCAGGCAAGCTCCTTACTATTGCTCCAGTCTGCAAGCAGGATATCTTGGAAAAGGGTAATGAAACATGCAAAGAACTGGCCCACCCAGATAGCAGCTATGTGGTACGTAGACATGAACAGAGCATGGGAAAGAGGGGGCGGGGTGTAGACCAAGATTTGAATGCAGTCCTGCCACTTTCCATGTAATGTCTGTCCCTAGTCATTACATAGCCATTGGACAGTAAAGACAAAAAAAAAATAAATAAAATAGTTTAAATCTTGTTCATAAAATGTCAAGAGGGAAAGCCAAGTTCAGTGCAGTTATTCAATCTGGTAGCCTAAGAATTGAATCTTTCACCCTTGGGGAATGGCACAAGCAGTCAAGTCAGGCTGCACCGCAGGCTCTGCTTTAGCCATGAGAACCCAGAGGGATGACGGCACATGAAATGATCAGCTGGAGACAACCGCAAAAACATCACAGCAAGAGCAATGAGCTCGCAATGTGTTGGCCTGGGTACAGTCTCAGTGAATAGGACTCCATCAGAATGCATAAAGACAAGACCCATCCTTTACAGGGCTGTGGAAGAAATATTGGCACTGGGAAACACTTCCATGGAAATCACAATACTGTAGTTACTATAGAATATTAATGGTAATGACCGGGGTGCAATGCCAGCTGACAAATGCCAGGTACCTCCAAATAAACGCTCACACTGCATTCTAACCGCACCCTGATGTGGAGAACAAATTGGGACCATGCCCTCCACTACTTTAAATTTCCTGGGGCTGGAGCTTTGCTGGCCATTTCATTTACATAACATACCTGCAATCATTTCCTTAAATCTCCAGCCAATTTCTCTTCTGTAATAGCATTATGGTTTCTGATTGTTATTTGTTGTTGCTCTTTTGCCCGAGGGGATTATCAGAGAGCAAATATGCTGGGTAAGCACAACTGCAAAGGAGGCTGCTCTGACCTCGCCGGAAGGAAGGTGACGGATGTAGGCCTTCCCTTGTCATCCACACTGATGCCAGGTATCTGCCAATGACAAGCTGGACGCCTAGAAGACAGCATGCTGGGCTCACTGCCACCCTCCTGAGAAGACTGTGGAGGGAGGAGAGCTGAGGCAGGGAGCAATCAAGGCTCTCTAAACTGAGCATCAGTTAAGATCTGATGTTCCTCAGCATCTCTAGAGAGCCCCTGAGTTGGGTAGGAAAGACAGTACTGAGAGGAAGTGCTTGCCTGCACACGGCCAACCCCAGTTCAGTTTCCAGCACCACATATATGTTCTCTGGGCCCTGCCAAGAGTGATTCCTGAGCACAGAGCCAGGAGTAAGCTCTGTGCACCACTGAACGCAAATATTTATATATGGAGAGAAAGACGAAGGGAGGGAGGGTGGGAAGGAGGGAGAGATCCACTACTTTAAATTTCCTGGGGCTGGAGCTTTGTCCAGCCATTTCATTTACATAACAGACCTGCAATCATTTTCTTAAATCTCCAGCCAATTTCTCTGCTGTAATAGCATTGTGGTTTCAGATTGTTATTTCTCTCTCTCTCTATGTATATTCATATATATGAGTGTGTATGTATATATATCAGATATATTTAAGATATTCAAGATCATTCTGAATATACCCATATGGTTTTCATAAAAGGGCCTTTTTATAAAGATAAAATATAAAAACCCTTATAAAAAATAAAAGACTCAGACCCCACATTAGCAAGGTAGGAAAGTACTTGCTTTCAGGATTCCAAATCCAGCGGTATTTTTACACGAAGCAGCCAGGCAACACTTGTGGGAGCTCTGACCTGACCACGGGAAAGAGCAAACCTTTTCACATTACTGAATGTATTTGTTATGAGAACTTACGATCTAGAAAACATGAATGGATAGAAAAGACATGTTCATTCTTTTCCATGGATATGGTGCTAGTTCCCTGTTTCACTTCTAATAAAATCATGAGCAATATTAGCAAATCATCCTCGAATATGCTCAAGTCTGTCACAGTATTTGGCACACCTGCAGAACTCTGATATAGCATTCTCGAGTTTCCCCTGAAATACTGTCACAGGGGTGAAGCAGTAACTGTGCTTCAGGTCCTTAACAGCTATGGGGATCAGTGAACTTTATGTGCCTGTGAACACAGGGATGAGGTTTTACTGGGAGAAGATTTAGTCATACAGGAGAGTCAGTCCGCAGAGAGGGACGCAGGGGAGGGAGGAGAAGTGAGAACGGAGAGAAGGAAGAAAGAAAAGAAGGAATGGAAGGAAAAAGAGAAGGAAGGAGAAAAGATAACAGGGAAGGAGGAAAAAGAAGGAAAGGGGCTTGAGAAGGCAAAGAAAGGCGGGGGTGGGGGACAGAGGCAGAGCAACACGGGGAGAGTTTTCTGTCTTCTGTATGTGTCAGCTACCCAAAGGCACATCAATCCAGGTTAGGGATTTAGCTGATGAGCACTTAGCTGACAAACACACATCTCTGGTTTTGTTTCTGGGTCATGCATGGCAAGGCTTAGAAATCACTCCTGGTGGTACTCTGGGGACCAGATGTGGTACCGGGTTTTGAACTGGGGTCACCTGCATGCAAGGCAAGGGCCTTACTCAAAGTGCTATCTCTCCAGCCTCAAAATTAACTTCAGACTCAAGTCTCAAAAAGAAGGATTCTAAGGAATAAGTAAAAGACGGTACTTTTCTCAAGCATTTGTCACAGAAACTATAAATACTGGGCGGTACAAATGTGTGTGCGTGTATGTGTGTATGTGCGCGCGCACGTGTGCACACCAGTTGTGTTCTGGGCTTACTCCTGGCAAACTCAGGGGGACCATATGTGGTCCCAGGAATGGGAACTGTGCTCCCTGAATATGTGGTCCCAGGAATGGGAACTGTGCTCCCTGATGCTAGGCAAGCATCCTGCCCGCTCTATGATCTCTCCCATCCTGTCTTAGAAACACTCAAAGAATCCTTCAAAGAGGCCCTGAAACACGCTCAGCCTAGGCCCACCCCTCAGCCTTACCTCTCCCGGTCCTTCTGCAGGGCCTCCTGCTCGGCTTCCAGGCTGGCCTGGAGTCCTGTCTGCTCGCCGTGGCCGCCGGGCAGCAAGGCCAGCCGCTGCCTCTGCTCCTCCACCTCCGGGCCCAGGGCGCAGCTCCGCTGCAGGGCCGAGTGGCGCTGCTCCAGCCTGGCCACGGCGCGCTCCAGCGCTTCTCTCTGCTGCTTCTCCCGCGACGCCAGGATTTCTTTCTCCTTCCTCCTCACCTTTTCCTCCTGCCGCGCCAGGTTGGCGGTGAACTCAAAGGTGGCCTGGAGCTTCTGGAGCTGGCTGGCGCTGGCCTGGTACTTGGCCAGCTGTTCCTCCTTCTCTTCCATTTCTTTCTCCACTTGATACAGGGTGTTGTCTAGGCTGAGGGGGCCTCTGTCCAGGACCTCCAGCGCCCTCTGCTTCTCTTCCAACAGAGTCGGCAAGTGATGCTGCAGGAGGTGCTGCAGCTGGCGCTCCTTACACTGCAGTCGGTGCTCCGGGGCCGCGGGGACGGCGTTGGTGCCCCCGTCCTCGCTTCTCCCCACTGCCCGAAACTCCTCCTCACTTCTGGGCTGGAGACGCTCCAGGAACCCCTGCTCTTCCTCGACTTCCCTTCTCAGGACGTCCTTCTGCTCCACCAGATCCTTCTCCAGGTTGGCCAGCTTGACCAGCTGCCTTCTCTTGAACTCCAGGAACTGCAGCTGCGCGCGGGCCGCCTCCTCGCCGTCCTCCTCGCCCTCGGCACGTGCCTCCTTGGCCCGCAGCAGGGCTTCCCGGATGCCCTCCAGGTCACGCCTCTCCTCCTCTACCCGCTGCACCTCGCCCCGCTGCAGGAGCCGGAGCAGCTCCTGCTTCTCCCGGAGCTGGTCCTCCAGGTGCACCACGAGCATCGCCTGCTCCTTCTCCTGCGCCTCCAGCCTCTGCTTCTCCCACTCGAGCTGGGCCGAGTGCTCCTCCTTCGCCCTGCGCAGCCGGTCCAGTTCCTGGAAGATCTGGAGCTTCTCCGTCTTCTCGGTGCGGTTGAGCTCCTGGAGCCGCTGGAGCTCGTCGCAGACGCGCGGGCAGCTCGGGTCCTCGTGCTGCGGCTTCTGCGGCTCCACGCCCTGCTGCTCCCGCAGCCTCTCCTCCTGGAACTTCTCCTTCTCGGCCAGCAGGTCCTTGAGGCGGCTCTCGATGTGCACCGTGCGGCGCTTGAGGCTCTCCTCTTGCCTGCGGATCTGGCGCTGGACCAGCTCCGTCTCCTTGCGCTGCGTCTCCACCTCCTGCTGCATCCGCTCTAGCGCTGCCTTGTCGGACTTCTGCTTCTCTTCCATCTCTTCTATGAGCTTTCTGCAGGGCAAACAACGGTGGCAGGCCATTATTTGGTCCCTACGTTGCCCTGTTGCTCTGCCTTTTTTCCCTAGCTGAAATGTTCTGGAAAAATGAGCCTATCGTGGAGAGCCACCAAAATTACAATTGAAAGAAAACAGCGCAGGGGCGGCTGTCCATTTAATTTTCCAGCAGCACGATATGTAACTTTTCACTCTCCAACTATCCAACATATCATTTGCCTAATCTCTTGGAGTGGCCGCTGATATCATTTCTTTGTCGCGTCTAAGCATAATGTGTCATGCGTGATAGGATTTAAAAAGCCCCCTGAGCGCAAAGCAGAAAGAGCCATGCCCAATTTAAATTTAAATGTGAATAATTTTATTCAGCCCAATAGCAAAAACCTCCGCAAAAATCCAGTCACAAAATTACATTAAAATAAAAATGCTTATGCTGTCCTCAACTCACTGGGGTCAAACATCAAAGTCAAGATTGTTGACAGTTCATTGATCCAGAGCAAACACATGCTTATTTAACCTTTAATCACTCCGATAAATGGTGATTGCCAAATGAGCCAAATTATTAGTTTATTAATGCACAATATAAAAAATAAAAGGACCCTTTCCTGGAATATTTAAAAGCCCGATTCTAGAGGCTCTTGGACACAAAAAAATAAATGATCCCTACTGGGTGTTAGTTATATCAATATTTAGACGTTAGGGTGGACTACTAAGAAAGGATATAGGATATATAAGAGTGATGCTGGCACAGAGCTATCTTTCAAGAAACTGAAAGCGAATTCATCTGTAACATGTAAACTTCAGATTCTGAAAAACGTTATCTAGTTTGTAGATTTTCTCTAGCCTTAGGTTCTACTCGGGTATATCTAGCATTGGCCCATTTCTTAGATTGTGGCTGGAGTGATAGCACAGTGGTAGGGCATTTGTCTTGTATGCAGCTGGCCAGGCCGAGAATACTAAGAGAATAACCGTATGTGATTCCCCCGCCCCTCTTGGAGATCCTGGTAAGCTACCGAGAGTATCTCGCCGGCATGCAAAGCCTGGAAAGCTACCTGTGATGTATTCAATGTGCCAAACACAGTAACAACAAGCCTCACAAGGGAGACATTACTGGGCCCGCTCGAGAAAATCGATATGGGAGGACCATGACCATGACCGTTAAATAAACAAACACTGTCCTCCCGTTGTTCAACGATTTGCTCGAGTGGGTCCAGTAACGTCTCCATTGTGAGACTCGTTGTTACTGTGTCTGGCATATCGAATACGTCATGGGGAGCTTGCCAGGCTTTGCATGCGGGCGAGATACTCTTGGTAGCTTGTCGGGCTCTCCCAGAGAGGGGCAGAGGAATAGGACCCGGGTCAGCCGTGTCGGCCTTGTGCAAGGCAAACGCCCTACCGCTGTGCTATCACTCCAGCCCCAGATTGTTAAGTCAGGGAAAAAGAAAAAAAATAGACAATACTTACAGTTCTGTCCACAACTGAATTCAGAACAAACAACCAACACATGTACATATACACATACACGTCCAAGAGAATGTAAACAAAAAATTTTTTAAAAAAATAGGCCAATTATAGACGAGGAAAACAAATGGTTAAAAAAATAAGAAAAGATGTTTAAAAAAGTGAGGAAGAATAAGGGAAGAAATTTTTTGGCTTAATTTGGAGGGTACTAAGAGAATAACCGTATGTGAGTTAAATTTAAACACATATATGGCATGTTGACTTTAATAGGTATATTAAATTTGCCCACTGCCATTATTCCCTATTTCTCACGAGAATGTAAAGATATAAAGAATTCAAACAAGAAGCAAAACAGCTAAAAAGAAAGTACCAATATTTATTAGGCATATAAATAATAAGCAGAGTAAGAGAGTTACTGAAACACAGAAAAAATCAGTCTACGATGTTGGTACAAGAATCCAACAACAGGTTAGTGTGAAAACTCACCAACCATATTGTAACTTACCTTTTACTTTCTAATTTTTCAAGTTCTTCTCGTTGTTGCCTCTCAAATTCAAGTCTAATAAAATTAAATAAAATCTGTCATTTTTTGGAAAAAGCTTTTTACTCTATATTATGTTATGAAAAGTATTAGTTTATCAATTATTACTTTAATTAGCACAGATTAGCACATTTAAAATGTATACTCTATTTAAAATCTATGATTAGAAACCAGACAAACTTTGGGGAGTTTGAATTCAGACTGAAAAGAACATATTTACTTGAAGGAAAACAAACAAAATATCAGTGAACTGAAAAGGCAAAGTTAAAGGAGATTTCTAAATTATAAACATTTCTATTCCATGCAGTTTAGTCACTGAGGAGCATATAAAAATGGAGAATCTCTACCTTAGACAGATGGGTCCTTTAATAGGGAAAAGACTGCCAAGGAAGTAGAAGAGAAAGAGAGCAAAAGCATCAATTAAGAATTAACTGAGGAAATACCAGGAGAAAAGCAGTAAGGTATTTATTATAGTCAAAAGCCATGCAAAAATCGAAATATCCCACAAATGTCGTATTTCCCAATAATTTCTTGAAGCAAACATGCTGCAAATAGCTGTTAGGTTGTACACATAATCTAAGACAACTGTAGCACCAATAACCAATTATGAATAATAACTGAACAGAAATAAAATTCATATTATTACTAATTTATAATTATACTGTATATAGGTTTATCAAGAATCTCCAGTAATTAGCAGTTACATAATAGGGGAATTACTGGGGCAAACAAAGATTTATGAAAGGACTATCAGAATGATAGCAAAATAAAGGAAGAAAGGCCATTGGAAATTTTAAAATAATTTTTAATTATTTGCTAAAACACTAACACAAAGTTGACAGATTTACTTATTATAACATTTCAGTATTTCTATTAAACAAGTTGAAGTCTAATATTTAATCCATATGATTTCTTATTGTGGTAGATGACAGATGCAAGCTAAAAAGGAAAATATTAAAAATCAGCATAAATTATATTCCTAAATAATGAATAAATCCAGATTGGTACAGTGATCTAATATAAGTTTCAAATGGAGATGTTTCCAATTTATTTTCGGCTAATATTTAGTGTAAGATGTCTGATGGAAAAAGAGAGGGACAGACATAGAAGGACTGCACTCATTTGTGGAGTATAAAATGACATGACATGAGAGTGATGCCTAAGGACAGTAGACACAAAGGCCAGGAAGACTGCTCCATAGTTGGAAGTCTGCCTCATGAGCAGAAGGAGAAGGCAGCTGGAATAGAGAAGGAATCACTAAGACAATGATAGTTGGAGGGACTGATTGGTATAGGAAATGTGTGCTGAAAGTAGATAAAGGACCAAACCTCTTGGTATCTGTATTGCAAACCGGCAATTGCTGTATTGCTCCGGCAGCCGAAGACCTCCAGGACCAGCCACCACCATGCTGAGACCACTCTCCGCACACATGAAGGTACTGGCAGAGGGACAAAGCCACGCGGGTTCCGGGGCCGAGACCTCCAAGCCTACTCGAATTGGAGTCGAGCATCTTCCACCCAGATCCTCCAAATTCCAGTAGGCGGGGGTCACACCCACCACCTGGCCCCCTGGCGCCGTGTAATCCCATCAGCGGCCAAGACTCAGAGACTATAAAATCCAGATCCCGGAACCGCGCGGCCGCATTTGTGGCCACGCGACATCTTATTACCTCATTCCTACTTTGGACAAACTTGCAGGCTATCGAACGATAGCCTGCCCACAGGGCAGAGTCTGGCAAACTCCCCGTGGCCTACCAAATATGCCAAATACCAGTAACAATGATGGGTCTCATTCTCCTAAAGAGCCGTGAATATAATCTCAGGGCTAGGATGAAAGAGACGTTACTGGGGCCTGCTCGAGGCAATCGACGATTGCAAACCATAATGTCCAAAAGTAGAGAGTATGGGGGAAACTGATTGTCATGGACACAGGGGGAGGGTGGACAAGGGTGGGTATACTGGGGGGATTTGTGGTGGGGAATGTGCATTGGTGGAGGGATGGGTGTTTGATTATTGCATGATTGTAACTCAAACATGAAAGCTTGTATTGTATCTCATGGTGATTCACTTAAAAAAAAAGATATGTATGTTTCCTCTGTTTCTATAGATGGAGTATTGGGAGTATGAATATGAATTTTAAAGAATAAATTGATTTTATTTTTTAAAAAAAGATGCCTGGTAGCTTTTGTAAGATGAACTATAAGTGTCGGGGTATGATGCCACCAGCAGGTCAATCTGTACCTGTGAAGCAAGTGCATCAGAAGCCTGATGGCATCTTCAGACTTCTAGATACCCCTAAATTGCTGCTGTGCCTTTGGCCAGACCCCAAAAACTTGGGGCAAACTTTACCAAGAAAGTAAACGGCCAAAAGTTAGGTGTGTGGGAGACACACTCACAAACCACCTCCAGCTCAGTTATATAATTGGAGGCATGGCTCTTTGGTTCCTGGTTGAACTGCTTAACGGCCATGATCCCAGGGACTCAGAAACAAATCTCGAAACCCAAGGGCTTTTGGCAGAAATGCGTCCTGCAGTCCGGTCCCTGCAGCAGGCTACCGGTGCTGGGACAACTTAGGTGGGAATAGGTTTTGTGCCTTGGCCTGTTCCCCCTCGTGCCCGGTGTCGGTCATCCTCCAGAGGCCACTGTACAGTCAGGTTTGGGTCCGCAGTGACAAGACATGTGGGGCCTCACAGGATGGGGATGGAGTCGGCCCTTTCCTCCCCATCCGAATGAGACCCTGTGTTGCTGCCCTCAAACGGCCTCTCTGGCTCCTGATCAAGCTACTTAGTGACCATGATCCCAGAGACTCAGAAACAAATATCAAAACCCAGCGGCTTTTGGCAGAAATGCGTCTGGACCGCACAGTAGGTTACTGTCGTCGGGCCACCCCAGGGGGGAAAGGGTGCTGTCCCTCTGCCTGCTCTCCCTTGGTGGCCTGGTGGCCGCCATCTTCCAGAGGCCATTGGACAGTCAGGTTTGGACCCACAGTGATGAGACACACAGACCTCATGGGATGGGGCTGGAGCTGGCCCTTTCCTCCCCACCCCAATGAGACCACAAGTCACCACCCACGAATGGCCTCTTTTGCTCCTGATCAAGCTGCTTAGCAGCCATGAACCCAGAGACTCAGGAACAAATCTCAGAACCCAGCAGGTTTTGGCAAGAAATCCCTCCAGATTTAAGTGTTAAAATTTTGGAATTTCAAAATTACGTGGCCACTACTGTAGCCACATGACATCATATGTTATTCATAACCAGCAATAGAAAACAAATTGTCTACTGTTGCCTTTTCAGCAGATCTGAGTGTAGGGGTAAAATCCCAAATAATAATGGTGGGTGTGGTGTTGAAATGTTGAATGTAATCAAAGTATAGAGAGAGTAATTTGGAAATCATCTGCCCCACAGGTAGGAGGAGGGTGTGGGATGGGGGTATACTGGGGATTTTGATGGTGGATAATGGGCACTAGTGAAGGTATGGGTGTTGCATTGCATGACCAAGACTTAAACCCGAAAGCTTTCTAACTGCTCTCATGGTGATTCAATAAATAAAATTAGAAAAAATGGGAAAAAAAAGGTAAGGTGGAGTTCACGCACAATTCAATCAGCCTAATCAGTGACTGAATAAATAGCAGTACTCCTACATAAAAAAAAATAAAATATTTTAAAAAAGATGAACTAAGTGACTTTTACATGTTATCTATATGTTCCCAGAAGGGTTTTTTTTTGTTTTTATAGTGACACCTGCTACTTCTCCCCACCCTTGCTCTGTTTCCATGCTCCTCTCCTTATTTCAGTGGTTTCCACTGATGGGAGGCAACATTTGAGTACCTAATACGTATAGGTGCTGTACAGGTACTCTGTATATAGTTTCTCAGTTGAGTCTAAGTATAATCCTTTGAGCAGAGAATATAGTCTCTAATTTCTATAAAAATTATAGAGGACTCTTCTAGGATGGGAGATGCATGCCCAAAGTAGACTACAGACCAACATGATTGCCACTCAATGCCTCTTTTGCTAACCACAGCACCCTAAAGGAGAGAGAGAACAAAAGAGAATGCCCTGCCACAGAGGCGGGGTGGGATGAAGGTAATGGGGGGAGGGGTAGGAGGGATACTGGGATCATGGTAGTGGAGAATGGGCACTGGCGGAGGGATGGGTACTCGATCATTTTATAACTGAAACCCTGTCACTACTATTGTCCTCCCACTGTTCATCGATTTGCTCGAGCGAGCCCAGTAATATCTCCATTGTGAGACTTGTTGTTACTGTGTTTGGCATATCGAATATGTCATGGGGAACTTGCCAGACTTTGCCGTGCAGGTGAGATACTCTCGGTAGCTTGCCAGGCTCTCCGAGAGGGGCGGAGGAATTGAACCTGGGTCAATCGCGTTGGCCACGTGAAAGGCAAACGCCCTACCCGCTGTGCTACCACTCCAGCCCTGACTGAATGAAACCCAAGCACAAAAAATTGTAAGTCTACAACTGTATCTCATGGTGTTTCACTAATAAAAAAAATTATAGAAAATAAAGTTTAATTCTCATATGTGGTCTCACAATCACTGGTATTTGTATTCATATTTATTGACCTCTGAGTTAAGTCTTTTGGCAGTAAATTCTGTCTTCCCATCATCTGTGTAACCTGTCAGAAACATAAGGCTCATCTTTGACTCTTATCAAAACTCACAACAAAATTCATCCAGTCACCAATTTTGTCAGCTTTGTTTCTTGAATATCACAAGATACCTTCCATTCTTTCCCAGTTTCTCCAGGGGCCAAACCATATCATCTCTTATTTACATGATCATGTGTCTTCATCATTTGTTTGTTATTTCTTCTCTTATTGCGCTGTTCCTGGCTATTCTCTGCAGAATACTAGGTCAGAATATTGTTCTTCAACAATCCTGTTTTCAAAATACTTTCCTAGCACTATCTATAGTCTCAAATTAAAAATCTAGTTTAATATAGCTTCCAAGGTCTTTCACTATGTGGCTTCTGTCTATTGAGTTTTCTGTCTTGTTA